AAAAAAAAAAAAAAAAAAGATAAACTCCATTTTAGATAATGGAATCATACTAGGTAGTTGGGTAGGAGCATATATAGCAGCGATTCCAAAAGGCCAGGATTTGATTTTGCCAAAAAATTATAGGCCAGTATCATTACTTACTAATAATTATACAATATTCACAACGATTTTAACTGGAAGACTAAAAATGTTTTTGAAGATTTTATTCATGAAGACCAGTGAGGGGTTTTTTTTTAAAGACAGACAAGAGATAGCATTAGAAATTTCTTAATGTATTGGAGTACTTGGCATAACATAGTGAAACACAAGCTTAATATTTCTTAATATTTCTTGATGCAGAGAAAGCTTTTGAATGGTTTTTCTATTTAAAATTTGCAAGATACCAATTTTGGAGAGAACTTTTATTATATGGGTGACATCAATACATTTTCACAAAAGGCACAAATAATTGTGAATGGGGGATTCACCAAGCTCTGAAATATAGAAACAAATGAGGCAGGGATGCCTGCTTTCTCCATCGTTATTCATTCTGGCTCTTCAAGTTTGGGATAAAGACATGAGACGAGACTTAACTGGACTGAAAGTTAAGAAAGAAATTTATAAACTAAAGGTATTTGTTGGTGATTTGGTTCTAATTTTGGAGAAGAACCCTTTAGGAAAAAGGATAGATGTAGTAATGGAAAAACTAAGAGAATTTGATGCAATGGCTGGATTTAAAATTAACAAGGGAAAAGTTCAACGATACTGACAAAGAACATTAAGATAAGACCCAAAAAATTGTGAAAAGTGGTTTTCAGATTGAAAAAAAAGTGAAAATTTGGTATAACTAATGTGTATGAATTCATGTCATAATAATGTTAAAATATGGAATGAAATTAAGAAGGATTTATTTGGATGGAGAAAATTACAATTCTCATTGTTTGGAAGAATTTTTATGGTAAAAAATCCACTCCTTTCCCTCTTATATCCCAGTGGATCAAGGAGGATCCTGCCTGAGTCTCTTTTGATACTATCTTTCCCCATAGATTTTAGGCGCACAGCTGGCTCAGGAATTCTGGGAGTTGAAGTCCACGAGTCATAAAAGAGCCAAGGTTGACTACCCCTGTTTTAGGGTATGTTTCAGCCCACTCTGCTTATCTGATGGTTCTTGCCTATTTCCTTTAAGGTCATCTCCCTACCTCTCTGTGCAAGTATGAAGAACATTCTATATCAGTATTATCAAAAACACTGTTTGGCAACATCTAAAGCAGTGCATCTGATGCAGATCAGTTGTCAGGTTCCCTTGAAATAGGTGACCCTTCAGCTATTCAAAGACAATATATGTTGAAATATGTATTTTATTTAGATTTAAATGCCACCTTTCCTCTAAATATAGAGGACAACCTTCCAGTGTCTTGCGATTACACTGCTGTACATTTTAATGATGTGACTTGGAACAGTTTGTGTGTGTGTGTGTGTGTGTGTGTGTGTGTGTGTGTGTGTAAAGATGCCTTCATTCCTATTCCCAAAAGTAATAGACAAAATGCCGAACTATAGGCTCCAAAATGAAAGGCAAGCCCTTGTGATCACATTGTCACAAAATAAAACAAAACCTGTGGTTTGATCTCAAACTCTTCAAAAAGTTACTCACTTTGCTTTGAAAGTCATGTTGCTGCAGTAGAACTTCCTTTCCCTAATTTATGGCTTCATCAAGACTGCAAGGTAGGTTGGACTGAGAACCAGTGAGGAGCCCAAATACCCCCAGTAAATTTCTATGGTTAACTGAGGACTTCATCCTGTATATGCCTGGTCTCCATTCAACCCTGACTCTTAACTGAATTGTGCTACAAATAAACTGGAAGTCAATCTAGATTTTACTACAGCAAGATATAATCCATAGAGTGAATATCAGTTAATAATTGAGCTGTTACATTCTGAGTATTTTAGAAGAGTTCCCAAATGTATCCTCATTCCTTTGCCCATGAAATTCATTATAGCAATAAAATCTTGAATGGATTATCAAAGCAAGAATTTTTTCATCAGGGCAGATACCTATGCTGGCCTTTCAATATTCATACTAAGGGTCAGGTTTACACACACACACACACACACACACACACACACACACCTCTTATTGGATACTTAACACCATCAAAATTGGTGGAATACAATCCATATCTATAAACAAAGCAAGAAAATCTGGGTTATAACTGCTCTGAACTCATTTAATGTGTTAATGATGCACAAAATAGAGAAAATAAATCAGAGCACGGTATCCCATTTCCCAATTACAAATAAGATAGTATACTGTATATTCACCAGCACCACAGAGAAGATGTGCTAGTTTGGTAGTTCTTACCACTCCAACAACAACACAAATCTCCTAATAGAGAACATATGCAGTTCTGGGTTGAACTTATGAGAACTCAAAACACTCAAAACATAGCAGCTAAATTATTAATTGCTACTCACTCCATGGATTATATCTTGCAGACAATACTAAAATCTCCACTGACTTCCAGTTTATTTCTAGCACAATCCAACTGAAGCCACTGTTGAATTAAGAACAGGAACATGCAAGTTTACAGTTAGCCATAGAAATTCACTAATGTATATGGGCTATTGGAGTGAGGGGAACATTTCTGTTTTTACACAGTGCATGTCTGTGGGATGGTATTTTCAATTACACTGACCACCAGGAGGCACCATGTGATCAGTTTTATTGTACTGTGACTTCAATTGTGGGTAGATGGGTTCAAGCTTCCTTACAGTACTTGGAACTAGATTCATGGTTCCTGAATTTTTCCACTTTAGAAGACTATAGAGAGTGCATTAGCTTTATGAGCTAATTCCATCCTTCCTTTCAAAGAAAAGGGATGGAAGCCATGTAAAACCCTGTACATGAGAGCATGGCATAATGTAACATCTACATGTATCTAAGAAAAAGTGAACTTTACGCACCCTTGTGAGAATTTCAATATACCCCCTCCATGCAGCCTCTGAGCACCAGGATCTGGAAAGCTGCTCATGTACTGACATCTGCAGCATCATAGATTAAAAAAGAACCTAAGATTATCCCTGCCGGACATTCGTTGTTTAGCATCGTATTTTGCCAATTGTTTGTTTATTTATTTGTATTTCACATTTCGTAACGACCCATCTACCTCAAAAAGGGGTAGCTCTGGGAGGTGTACAATATTATCAGAATCAATAAAAAATTAGACATTAAAAATAGAGCAATTTAGGATGAAAAGTTTTAAAATTATAAAAACATTATAAACATTTCAGAAGGTGAAGAATTCCAAGATGGTGAATTAACTGTAGTTAATACAGGCGGGTAGGAGATTCTCATGGGGCCAGCAATCTTCATAGATGTGTAGGTCACTATGTTCCCCATGCAAGGCTACATACAGTAGCCACTTTTTCACCCCTTTGCGGAAGGCCAAAAGATTGGGGGCTTTCCTCACCTCTGAGAGCATGCAAGGGCAGTAGCAGAGAAGGCCTTCCTCCTAGACCCCACCAGTCAAAATTCTACAAGTTCTGTAGTATACCTTGCCTGCCTGAATGAGTGAGGTGGGCTGATGCTGGTTCTGTAGGGAGCCTGGCCCTATGCCATGTAAAGCTTTATAGGTAACAACTGATACCTTGAATTGGGCCTGGAAGCAAATTGGAACCCAGTGCTGTTCATGGAGCAAAGGTGTTATATGTGCCCTTCTTTGGGCACCCAGTATGAATGAACCTTTATTATCAAAGTATAACATGTATACAATGAGATTGGCTGAGCCTCCCTCCGTGCCCCCACCACAACTCACAGTGACAACCCCCCCCCAACTTATTACACCCTGTGAGCTAATTGCACAGCACGCTGGCCTCATGGGTCTGTCATGCATGGAATTATTATGTCCTATTCAAGAGCTTGACAGCCCATAGATAAAAGCTGTTCTTCAGCCTGTTGGTACGGCTGGCTATGTTTCTGTATCTCCTACTCGATGGTAGGAGAGTAAAGAGGTACCAACCAGGGTGTGAGTCATCCCTGAGAATTTTCCTCACTCTACCAAGGCAACGGGCCCTGGCAATGTCATCCAGTGGTGTCAGGGAACAGACCACGATGTTTTGAGCCGTGCTCACCACCCTCTGTAATACCTTCCTGTCCTTGGCTGTCAAGCTAACATACCAAACCACAATACAGTATGTGAGAACGCTTTCAATAGTAGACCGGTAGAACCGGTATGGTTCAAATGCTCACATTCTGCACCAGTTGAA